GCTTGTAGGTCTTCATCTGAATGAACACAGACCACATTATCATCAACATATTGAACTTCTGTAACAAATGTTGTTGTGAACCTGGTTTTGGCTTTCAGTCTGCTGAGATTAAATAGCTTGCCATCTGTCTGATAGATGATTTCCATGCTGTCAGCAAGGTGCAGTATCATAGCGATGAAGATGGAGAGTAACGCTGGGGCAATTACACATCCCCTTTTGCCCCATTAAATCTTCCATATATTTCTTTATTTTATTATAATTTTTTTGTATCTTGTCACAGCCCACCACATATGCATTAAAAAAGCCAACTTTGCCACATTTGCGCCAATGTAGTTTTGGCAATGATTTAGTTATATGGGCTAATTTAAATGGGGTTCTGTACCATTTGGTCAATATTTTCCTCCTGTGCTTCTCTGGGCCTAATATGTTTAGGTTTTTTTTTAAATTGAATTAATCCATTGTTCAGTATCTGACTCATTGCAGTTTAACTCCTCTTTCCATATCTCAACTAGTATTGGTTTCGGTTTATATTGTTTTTCAACCTTTTTTTGTAAATGAAACCCATCAATATTTATTTATTTATTTATTTACCATTTTTTGTAGCCCACTCTTCTTAACCCTGAGGGGGACTCAGAGCGGCCTTACATGTTGGAAACTACTCAGTGCCTTAAAACATACAATTGGTAAACATCTATGTAAAGGATAACTGGGTGGTTTTACTGGCAAGGGAGATCTTTCTTTTCAATCCCACCGCTGCCACCACTGTGAAAGAATGATGGGGAGATCCGAGGCTAATATTCCCTTTAACAGATCCCCTCCTATCTACACACACCACTATAACGAAGGATTAATGACACACAAGTGGTTTTCACAGGCAGGGGAGACAAAACACCTTCTCTACTCCCTCCTGTCAGACCCAAAGTGATTCAACACATGTGTTGTTGTTGTAACGTGCGTGTGTGCTGTTTGGTAAGCTGCCACCACCTCAATGTTAAATTATGAGGAATTGTTTGACTGGAACTCCTGAGGTGAATTCTCCCAATACACTGCTTCTTTCTACTGGCTCCCTATGAAACGTGACTGGACTGTGAAAGTATATAGAATTGTTAGACCTGAGGCTATACAAAGAACCAAGGCTGAGGCTAGTTAACAATGAAAATAAAGACTGAGTTTATTGAGTAACATGAGGTGAATAACAGACTGCTACGAGGCACAATAAGCTTAATTGGTTTCTAAAGCACAATCTTCTTCTTAAATAAGGCAGTTTCTTCAGGATGGGTTACTTTACTATAACTGGAGCTAAATTTTCTCTTCACTCTACCCTATTACTATGTAGCAGTGAAGTTCACCAGCCAATTTCCCTGGCTGTCACACAGAGTCTCTACTCTGCAACCTGAGAGATAATTCCCCCTTATACTATGTCTCAGCACAAGTAACAGGCTCTCACTCTGACTTTCCTAGCCAGATTCTTCTGAAGATCCCTGTTCTAAACTAATCTCCTTCCAGGCTAGCTCCTAAGAAAATGTATCACTAAACCCTGACTGAAATCCTAACCTCTCTTCTCTCTGATCTAATCTTGCTTTGTTCAAGATTACATTCCTTCTTCCCCCCTGTCAGAGCTGACAAGCTACTTTACACTCCTACAACTCCTCTCCCTTGAGTCAGACCCAATCAGAAGAGAGTTGATTCCTCCCTTGCCTCTCTGCCTTTCCTAACATGGATGCCAGCCTACTGTCTGCCAAACTGTGGCCTACGAAAAGGTATGAGTTCATGACAATCTACATTAAAACCAAAGAATTAAAACATATAAAAACAGTTAGATCAATTATTAAAATCACATAGTCCACGGTCGTAATTCAGGCCCATTCCAATGGTCATTGCACGGATTCTACATTAATTTATTTCACTGCAGTTATTCTGGTTCCGTAGCCATGTTTTAGCTTTCTTTCTCAAGGTTAGAAGGGAAGGAGCTGACTGAATATCACTGGGGAGGGAGTTTCACAGCCGAGGGGCCACCACTGAGAAGGCCCTGTCTCTCGTCCCTACTAACAGTGCCTGCTAAGGAGGTGGGACCAAGAGCAGGGCCTCACCAGAAGATCTTAACCTCTTTGATGGTTCATGGGGGAGGGGAATATGTTTGGACAGATAAGCTGGGCTTGAACCATTTAGGGCTTTATAGTAGGCCTGTGCGGTTTCGTTCGTTATTTCGTTATTTCGTTATTAATTCGTTATTTTTACCATATCCGACGCGATTTCAAAACACATTTTTAAACCCGGAAGGGTTTTTAAATATCGAAACAGCAACTCCCAAAGTATTTACGAGCTTTCGCCCGTTTTGTAAATGGGGCGGGCGGGGCCTCCGCGCCTCCGCGCGCCATCCAACCGGCCTCCGCGCGCCATCCAATCGGCTCCGGCTCCTGCGCCCTCCTCCTCCTCCTCCTCCTCCCAGCTGTGTTGCAGGAAGTGCGCGCTCACCCTTACAACCGGCCTCCGCGCGCCATCCGGCTCGGCTCCTGCGCCCTCCTCCTCCTCCTCCTCCCCCGCTGCCGCAGAAAGTGCCAGGAGGAGGAGGAGGAGGAGGAGGGCGAGGAGCCGGAGCCGATTGGATGGCGCGCGGAGGCCGGTTGTAGGGGTGAGCGCGCG